TCTAAAACTTCATCTCCGAGGAGGGCCTTCATGTCCGGCACCATAGGATTGAGCACCTCAAGTATCTTCTTATCCTGCTCTAATGACAAAAAGTAAGCTAGACCCACAAAACTTAGCAGTGTCGGGGATTCCCTACCTCGACCAAAAGGGATGATCGGGATCTCAAGTGATTGCATTGAACCACCTATCTTTCCACCTGTTTAATGAACTTGGCATGGTCGAGACTCTAAACCCACCTTGAGTCGACAGGTAGGCGAAACAGGTGTACTGGGGAAGTTTTTTAAGCTCGAATACCATTTCTACATAGGTCGAGGGAAGGCGTGATGCCCAGGTAACGACAAGCAACAAAGAAGTAAATGAGCATCCTCCAAGCATTGGGCACTAACTGTCTAGGGCACATGGAGTGCTCGACTTAAAAACCTACGAAAAAAGGGTGAGTAAATGTTGCCTCAGAGGCAATGGAATACAACATTTTTGCCTTAGAAAAGTTAAGATGACGGAGGCGATGTGCTCCGACATAAAGGCCTCGGATTGCTTATGTGACATTTTGCTTACCTAAAACCATATATGTAGAGGTGTAACATATTTCGTTTCTCATTTGACATGGATATATATTAAAATTGCAGCAACAAGACAAGTCTTTTTCATTATAATGTTGGAGTTTGCCTTATAGAAATACTATAATAAAAAATGTGTTTGTGACAAGGGTACAAGTATAACTCTTGACAAGCATGGAAGACAACTCATGCAGCAAATTGATCATAATTTCTATTTTATTTCTTGGGTTGAATATATTATTTCAATTGATTTCGGTATGAAAATATGCTTTATTCCTCATGCTATGACGAATTGTCCTGAAAAAATTAATTAAAGACTTCTAATTTTTCGTGATTCAAATGTTTTTGATTGCGAATAAACAGATGGGTGTTATATGGAATTTTACTCTATTTGGCTTTCCTCTTTAGCTTTAGGGTATCTAAACATTTAAACCCGTACATGACAATTTTGCAAGTATTCCTTATCTGATTAATTTTATGAGTCAGATGTTGAGTAGCAGCCACGTGAACATTTGGATAAAGTGAACGGGAGAAATTGATGAAAGGGCCTTTTAAAATACATGCAAACCGAGGTTCCATATGGCAGGAAAAACTGAAAAATCCATAATGGCGCCCATTTAAAATTCCAATTTATCTACTTGTCCAGAAAATGTTGTCCACCACCTGCATTACAGATGTAGTGTTGGCAACACATAATTGGCTGCCAAAATGGGGTTTTTTTTTTGGGCTAAATCCAATTACAGAATGTCATATCTGTCAAAGTGTGTGTACACATTTTTTGTACTCATAGCAAGACTCTATAAATTCTCCCAATAAGGGTCTTCTCAATTTAAGATTAGCGTTGGAGTATAATCCTACTGATTTTGATCTTTTTTCAGTGACAGTTTATGAAAGGTTGGAAAAATCGATATTTTTAAATTTTTTTAGAAATTGTAATTTGTGACGTATTTCTCATCCCACTAAATATTTTTTTCCAATTCTGATAAATTTACTCACAAAACAATTATTTTCAAGCCACATATTTGTTCAAAACTAGTAAATAAAATATAATAATAAAAAAAAATTTTATGTGAAATTTTTTTTTTACAACTATAATATTTACTTATAAGTAAAAAATTATTTCTATTTAAAAAAGGCTTATAAAGTAAACAATACTACTAATAAAATAAAAAGCTGTAATAAAATTAAAAGTAATAGAACAAGAAGAGAAGAAAATTAAGTATGTGTTTTTATTGAGAAGCACTGTCTCATATTTATAGGGTTAAAAATGAGAGTTATAATAAGATTAGAATAGACTCCTTTAGACTATTGAAGTAACATGATAAGACTAAAAAATTGTCAATAATTATCTCGTTGTTTTAAAGTACTCTTCTTTTGATGATTATTTGTACTATAACTGTCTTGATAAAAATCTTGTTGGTTAAAAATTAGTGGAAAAAATTAAACAGAGGGACAAAGAGTACGATCAATAGTTAAAATTTTGGATTATAAAGAAAATACCGCCTTATTAAAATCTCGACTAAGAAAATTAGTGGGACAAAATCTCTTAAGGAAAAATAATATAGCTACTCCCTCTAATGTTAATCACTGAAAATTGTTGAATTGACGCATTTTAATCTTGTGTACCAATTTCTTGAATGTAAATGTGAACAATGCTTATGTGAATAAATAATCCATATTGTCAATGGAACGAGTTTGTTGAATATTGATATCACCATCCTTCTAAACCTCACATGCATACAAGAATTTTGGACAAATATTCTTCGCCATCTCCGCTGATATAAGGCTCATTTAAGTTGTGTAATACAAGCTGCATTTTCTTCATACAAAATTATTGGACTATCTTTTTTTGAAGTCAATTAACATTATGCTTGGATATGATGGGTCATGTTCGTCAACCATACACATTCTCGACTTGCTTTGTGCGATACAATAATTTCAAAATAGTTTGAAGATTTTGCGATCAAGGTTTGCTTCATAAATCTATATGATCTGGTTGTGCCTCAATGTGTAAGTACATATTATGTTTGTGATTTAGTTTTATGTGGATCAGAAAGATAACCTCCATCTACACGTCTTATTAAATATCTCGACTTTTGAGAATAAAATAATCACAAATCAATGGTACCTCTTAGGTAACAAATGTCTTACAATGTCTTTGAGTTGCTATAGAGCCATAACTTGCAGTGACATTTATAGAAAACTGATTTCGGGTCGAGTACAATTTGCAAGATAGTTTACAATCAAGAACTTTTCATCCATCGTTAAGTGGGCAAAATGGATATTTTTCACATCAAATGACCGAACAACCATAAATGATGCCAATGGATGTGCTTTTATCCATACAAAAATGTTTTTAAGACTTTTTTCGTATATGAAGATTGATCGACAAATAATCATTCTGAGAAATGTTCAAGTGCAATCCAAGATGTGGAATGAAAGTAATTGGCAGGTATCCATCGTATGATAAAATATATTGTGGATCTCTATAAAAAAATAAATCTAGGGAAAGAAAAAATGGAGACAATTTCTGCTAATTGTGATAGTCCAATTGATGTGACTTGTCTGAATGTCTCTGATCTTTTTACTGATCCAAACGAAAATATTGAACATTTTGATTGAGGGCGATGTGATTGAAGATATACATTAGTTTAGTTTCAAATTTTGGATTATAAAGAAAATACCGGCTTATTAAAATCTCGACTAAGAAAATTAGTGGGACAAAATCTCTAAGGAAAAATAATATAGCTACTCCCTCTAATGTTAATCACTGAAAATTGTTGAATTGACGCATTTTAATCTCGTGTACCAATTTCTTGAATGTAAATGTGAACAATGCTTATGTGAATAAATAATCCATATTGTCAATGGAACGAGTTTGTTGAATATTGATATCACCATCCTTCTAAACCTCATGTGCATACAAGAATTTTGGACAAATATTCTTCGCCATCTCCATTGATATAAGGCTCATTTAAGTTGTGCAATACAAGCTGCATTTTCTTCATACAAAATTATTGGACTATCTTTTTTTGAAGTCAATTAACATTATGCTTGGATATGATAGGTCATGTTTGTCAACTATACACATTCTCGACTTGCTTTGTGCGATACAATAATTTCAAAATAGTTTGAAGATTTTGCGATCAAGGTTTGCTTCATAAATCTATATGATCTGGTTGTGCCTCAATGTGTAAGTACATATTATGTTTGTGATTTAGCTTTATGTGGATCAGAAAGATAACCTCCATCTACACGTCTTATTAAATATCTCGACTTTTGAGAAGAAAATAATTACAAATCAATGGTACCTCTTCGGTAACAAATGTGTTACAATGTCTTTGAGTTGCTATAGAGCCATAACTTGCAGTGACATTCATAGAAAAAACTGATTTCGGGTCGAGTACAATTTGCAAGATAGGTTACAATCAAGAACTTTTCATCTATCGTCAAGTGGGCAAAATGGATATTTTTCACATCAAATGACCGAACAACCATAAATGATGCCAATGGATGTGCTTTTATCCATACAAAAATGTTTTTAAGACTTTTTTCATATATGAAGATTGATCGACAAATAATTATTTTGAGAAATGTTCAAGTGCAATCCAAGATGTGAAATGAAAGTAATTGGCAGGTATCCATCGTATGATAAAATATATTGTGGATCTCTATAAAAAAATGAATCTAGGGAAAGAAAAAATGGAGACAATTTCTGCTAATTGTGATAGTCCAATTGATGTGACTTGTCTGAATGGAAGATATACATTAGTTTAGTTTCACTATTTTAGTATTTCCCTTTGTTTTAGAAGTTTAGTTTGAGATATGTTTTTATTTTCTTTGAAATTTGAAACTTTAATATGCATTGATTATTTTCATAGTTGATATTGAATTATGTTTACTTATTTTGATTATAAATTCAATTGTGTAAAAATGTTTATTTTATTTTATTTATAGATTATGATAAATTGTCAAGCTATCTATTAAGTAGACATGTAATTACACATTCTATTTTTCATGACAAAACATATTTTTTTGACTTAACATTGTTTCAAAATAATGTTAATACGATATCATGTGCATCGAACATTGTTGAAAATTCTGGAAGAGCTTGTATAATCTTATCAAACTTTTTTTCTCAAACTTTCATAGTGCAATGGGAATAGTTGCTCCACTTAAAATTCCATAGAAGTAACAGATTTCATCGGTCGAAATAAAAATACACGATATTTATTGAGACGACATGCTAAAAAGGTGTAATAAGTGGCCCCCAAAACATGTCCATCTATCACCATACCTACAAAGGACGTATAGAGAGCCACCGGTGAAACATCGCAAGCGATTCTTTAGGGTTGTACTCTGCTGCTGTATGACCTGCGCCCTATAAAATAAAATAAACTTTCATTTCTAGTTTTTCTTAAATCTTTGTGAGAAAGAGCATAGTCAAACTTTTCTTGCCTTCACTGTAACAAATGTTAGAAAGAATTCATTCTTCTTGTACTTCTCTGTGTATCTACAAAATACAAAGTTTATTGCAATTTTCAGAATAATACCAAGCAATATATAGTGTGTGTGTAAGATCAAGAAATGAAAACCAACCCTGCAACTTGGCCATCAACATTCCATGGTCTCCAATCTTCAAAAACAGTCATATTGAGACTACGAATCCATTTTAAAGGACCCATATATGGTGCAACCATGTCATGATCTCCGCTAGAAAGAAAAGAAGCAAAGTTAGAAAAAATATATAAATTTACATAAATGTATAGTTACTTTTTAGAAAAAATATACAAATTCACATAAATGTACAGTTACTTTTTTTGTTTAATGATCTACCATGAAATGTAAACCAACAAATACATTTTAGTTGATGGATAAGACTAAACTTAGAACATATTAAGTCACAGTTTCAGTTTAAGAAAGAAACTAATATTACTTATATATTAAAACTTCGAACGCTTTCTTGCTGAAAATTTTATAATATTGAAGAACACTTTCCACATCCTCTTCATAGGATAAGCTGTGGTTGCATCTCGTCCAGTCTGTTATCGTTCCCTGGAGATCAAAATACAAGATTAGCCTAGAGATTTTAATAAAATATACAACTTTTCTTTTTGTTGATAGCTAGCCAATTGTAAAGCATGCTGAATCTTTAATCTTCTGCTATTTAACATACCTTTCTAGTATGAAGAGCTTCTTGGACGGTCGGATCATTTGCCCAAACATAAGATGTTAGATAATTTTGAGGCTGTACAAAAGAAATTTGTTCATGAAAAACTGAGAGTGCTTGGGTAAGATAAAAAAATTTACCGACAAAGTAAGTCGTAACTTACTTTTTAGAAAAACAACTTTAAAGCAAACATGTGCATATATGTGTGTGTGTGAAATAGAAGATTAATTGTGTTACACGACACCACAGTCGATCTTGTTCAGATGCTGGGAGAACGAGGTGGTCAATTGGATCATCTTCTTGAAATGTTTGAGCCCATCCAAACTCATGTGATTTTGGTGCTATGTATTTACATTTTGGTTCCAATATGTGAGGTGGATTTACTTGGTTTATACACTGCAATATTTGATCATATCACAAAACTTCTTTAGGCTTTATGACCATAATTAATGTTAAAGGATAAGAAAAGTAAAATATGATTCAAAATATTACCTCTTGGATAGATTGAAGGGCATAAATACATCGCAAATTATTTGGATCAGGATTGTAATACTTTCCATCACAACTAACTTTCGCTAACTGAAATTGCACCAATTAATTACATGATAATAATATGCAAAATGCTTCATTTTATCATCAAAATAGTAAAAAAATAAATAAATGAATACCTCAAAATATTCATCTGATATAAGTGCCTTGCGGTGAGCATATGGAATTCGTTCATTATAATCAATGTTTGGATCCGTTAGTCCATTGCCGATGATGTATCCCTGTTCCCATTTTGAAGGTACTCAACCATTAACATGAAATATGTTGAAAGAATTGGCAAATAAAAATAAGGAGAAATTCATATATTTGCGTGAGCTAATCAATACTTGGAAGGACATTCGTGGCTCAAGTCCTTCTTCATTTCCTGCATTACAATCAAGATTAACAACTTAATCAAACTTCGTTGGTGGACAAAAGAGAGTCAAATAAAATTTTGTAACCTTCATTTTTTTTTTCTTTTAAATATATACTACCTCGTAATATTTCCATCACAATCATGGGAACAAGTTTGCCTCCATAAGATTCACCCGCAACATATAGACGATTTTTGATAAAAATTGGGTGATTCAATAACCACTGCAATATTCTCATATATTGTTAGTTCACTAACCTTAGAAAAATGTGGGTCAGTAGATACTACTAGTGAGTCCCGCATCAAACTTCATTTATATTTCCTCAATTAATTAAGTTGACTTACCTTCCTGAGAAATGTGTAATTATCTTTTGAAGATTTGGAGTCTGAGGTAGAATAACCTTGTGAAGTGCTTGCATATGAAAATCCAGTACCAACAGGCCAATCTATGAATATAATATTGGCAACCTGAAATTCATGTAACTATATTACAATGGTATTGAGCTACTAAATATATACATACATGACTTCAAAAATGCATGGAGTGAGATTTTTATGACCTTGGTCCATGAATATGGATTTCGTAGAATAGATGGTAAGCTTCCATCAAAACCTGCCACATCAAAAGCTAAAGGACCTGCACAAAAGAACACTAGTTGGTGTGAGTATAATAAAAGTTGAATTTATCAATTATAAAATAAAAATATTTTCCTTTCTTCCTCTGCAAATATTGCTGATTATATATGCTAATTTCTATCTGGGAAATTGTTTATTTGGAGAACAATGTGTAAAAAATTGGACAGCTTAATTGACTGAAATAGTAATTTCAGTCTCCAGGATATATAAACATCGAAACACTAGGTTAAAAATATGCTTCTTAAGAATACATAATTGATGAAAGTGTGTAAGCATTGAAGTAATTCTCTTTTCTATATTTAGTTAAATCATGCTACATGAACATCAAGGTTAACATAAAATTTGAAATAATGTCAAGTGGCATTTTATCAATGAACAGTTTAAAACAGAGTCGGTTTTTTTATTCAATCATCTACTATCACATGTAATTATGTTAAGCTTCCATAACCAGAAACTCTGAACCTTTTTTTCGCACTTCGCAGTTGCAGAAACCCATAGTAAAAAAATCAAATTATGTTTTTGGCTTTAAGATTTCGACTGCAAAATTCTATTAGCACTAAAAAAAGATCGGTCTTTTCATGGCCATACTATAGTTGAGAATCATTGCCACTTTATTTTTTCCCCAATGATGCAATATTGATAGAGATAAATACATGATTTAATAAGATATGAGTAAAACTTTTCTCTCTGTGGCTTTAGATCCTAAAAATTCATTGAATATTTAACAAGGATGATATTGGCAAGCTCGTAAAAAAAATCTAGTCTAAAGATTTTAAAGCACAAGAGATTCATTATTTAAAAATGCGGCACTATAAGATTTTATATCCTTTATTCCTTGTATCAGTACTTTCCGATGTATGTTTGGAATTCGTCGCAAGTAGAAATTTGGTGGGTTATATTATAGTAACTATTGATGCATCGTGTACTAATGCTAAGCATTTGTACCTTAAAAATTGGGTAAACATTTTTACCAATGAAACACGTGAACATGGAAATTGGTAGCTAAATGGGCGATCAGCATTTAGAGCAAATGAACATTTGGACCAGTTAATGAGTGAAAATTTATGTTCCATTTCTTTAATTTTCTGCATAGTTTTATTTTTTATATTTTTGTTGAAGGATCGATTGAGGACCAACTAGTGGTATCACAGCCTCAAACGTTTTTTAGGGAGGTTTTCTGGTTTCAATTTGTTGAAACCCTAATTGTTCTTCAAAAATATAAAAATCCGACTTGGAATTTATGAGGGAAAACAATTTTGTTTTCTAGAATTTTTTCATGATCTACCTTTGATTCAACCTTTGGTTGGATTTTTTTTTAATAATTTGGTGTATTTTTGGTTAGATCCGTGGAGACCTTGAACGGATATGGTGATTTTGATGTTTGTATACTGGATCTTTATAAAGTTTTTGGATAACTCATTCCATACCTTGTGAAACTTTGTGTTTTCACTATGCTTTTGGTGATTCCTTAGTGACATATTACTTAGTTGTGGTGAGTCATCTTGGTTATTAACGATTCTTGTAACACACTCTTGGTTATAAGTGAGTTGAGTTGACAGACTCACTCCAATTCTTGGTGATTTCTTTGACTCACTTCTAATTTGTACCGAGTCATAGTGTCTCACTGAGTTCTTGCGTATTGTCTGGAGTTCTGGTCTGATTCTGGCATTCTTTTATTCTCAGCCTTTATTGAAACCAAAGGTTTCAAGTTTTGTGTTCTCTGTTGACCTCAGATTATGGCTCCGACATGTGGCCAATAGAACGTCCTCAATTCAGCTCTTCTCTGCACACGTAGCACGCCGTTAGCCACTCGTGGCCTTTCCCGAAGGGGTTGGGAGCTGTCATGAGTACTCTGACGGTTAAGTCAGTTTATGGTTCAACCAGAAAAGGTTCGCCGGCGGTAGAACATTCGCCGGGAAGTGGTCGATAGAAACTACAATTATAAAAATGCCAATATTTCAGGGAAATGATAATACTCAAGTTTTTTTATGTAGCGAGAGGAAATCTTGATTCCAATCTTTCTACTGGTACAAGGAGGGGATATTTATATTAAGGATGGGAAGAGGAGATCCGTTGGATGAGGAGACATGTGTTGCGAGATACTTAGGGCTCGTCCCATCCTAGGTGTCACCCTATCCCTCCATAGGTTGGCTGGCATTGAATGTTTCTGACGAAGGCAACTAAGTTGACCATTTGAGTCATGCCACATGTCCCATTAGTCTGGGATTTGACTTTGAAAAGATCTTTGTAGAAGAGATCTTTGGTGGGCGAGGCGAGGCAGGTGAAGTGTTGCAGCGGCTGCAGGAGCTGAGTGCGGGCCTTTGCATCCACGATGTGCATGCGGATGAGTCCAGTTCTTTTGCTGAAGCGTGTTCAGTCTGTTCCTCATGTGATCATTTTACCATGTGCAATCAGCCAGTCCCACGTACAATCACCTCGGATGACGAGTAGCGTGGTGTGGACCACCCCTTATTGATACATCGATGGCGAGGTGACGGGTCTGACACAGGCCCGTAACAGTAGTCCCGCAAGTCCATGTATGGACATTTATGTAGTATAGGGACTTTTAGTTCAAACTGTTTCAAGTTAGGACGGATGTTGACGCGAGGAAAAGTGATAGGAGTTGGCAAATCTGTGGAAAGCTGTTGTAGCCGAAGCGATAGGAATTGGCAACTTTAAGGAGAGCTGTTGTAACATCGAATTCTGCTCTGGCCGAAGTGATATGGGTTGACAACTCTGTGGAGAGCTGTTGCAAAGTGAAGCTGTCGTGGCCGAAGCGATTGGAGTTGGTAACTCTAAAGGGAGTTGTTGCAACATCAGATTCCGCTCTGGCCGAAGTGATATCGGTTTGCAACTCTGTGGAGAACTATTGTAACGCGAAGCTGTTGTGGCCGAAGCAATTTCTAGAGAGCCTTGGGTCTTGTACCAATGATTTGAAGGCTTTCGCATCTTCCCAAGACAATCATGATGGGACGTTTGCTTGCTTCCAAGCCACACCTTTATTGCCATAAATGGTAATGATGGCTACGACCCCCTGCTCCCGAGGCAACTCGTTTGGGTCACGCGTGGGACTCACTGCTTCATCAAGTCCGTTGGTTCAAATGACCCTTGGCGTCAACGGAGATCATTGCGTTTTAACCTTGTACTGTCCAAATGTGGTTTGGATGATCTAACGGCTGGGGGTAAGTATAGAACGCCTATAAAAGAGCCATTCTCTTCATTTTGAAACCTTTATTTTTGCGAAGATCTCCGTATTGCTTTCGAATTCTCAAGGACTCCTTGCGACTTTCTTCTCCGGCAAGTGACAATTAGAGCTCCGACGGATATTTTGAGGATTCCAGCTTCTTCTCCTTCTTTCTTTTATTGAACTTTCGAAAATATTTTGGGATGGCTGAGCGTTTTGTTGTGATGGGGAGCGATGAGGAGAGAGGTGAGGGGAGTTCATCCCTGAGGGGGACCTATAATAGTCCCGCAAGTCCATGTATGGACATTTATGTAGTATAGGAACTTTTAGTTCAAACTGTTTCAAGTTAGGACGGATGTTGACGCGAGGAAAAGTGATAGGAGTTGGCAAATCTGTGGAAAGCTGTTGCAACGCGAAGCTGTTGTAGCCGAAGCGATAGGAATTGGCAACTTTAAGGAGAGCTGTTGTAACATCGAATTCTGCTCTGGCCGAAGTGATATGGGTTGGCAACTCTGTGGAGAGCTGTTGCAAAGTGAAGCTGTTGTGGCCGAAGCGATTGGAGTTGGTAACTCTAGAGGGAGTTGTTGCAACATCGGATTCCGCTCTGGCCGAAGTGATATCGGTTTGCAACTCTGTGGAGAGCTATTGTAACGCGAAGCTGTTGTGGCCGAAGCAATTTCTAGAGAGCCTTGGGTCTTGTACCAATGATTTTGAAGGCTTTCGCATCTTCCCAAGACAATCATGAGGGGACGTTTGCTTGCTTCCAAGCCACACCTTTATTGCCATAAATGGTAATGATAGCTACGACCCCCCTGCTCCCGAGGCAACTCGTTTGGGTCACGCGTGGGACTCACTGCTTCATCAAGTCCGTTGGTTCAAATGGCCCTTGGCGTCAACGGAGATCATTGCGTTTTAACCTTGTACTGTCCAAATGTGGTTTGGATGATCCAACAGCTGGGGGTGAGTCTAGAATGCCTATAAAAGAGCCATTCTCTTCATTTTGAAACCTTTATTTTTGCGAAGATCTTCGTATTGCTTTCGAATTCTCAAGGACTCCTTGCGACTTTCTTCTCCGGCAAGTGACAATTAGAGCTCCGACGGATATTTTGAGGATTCCGGCTTCTTCTCTTTCTTTCTTTTATTGAATTTTCGAAAATATTTTGGGATGGCTGAGCGTTTTGTTGTGATGGGAAGCGATGAGGAGAGAGGTAAGGAGAGTTCATCCCTGAGGGGGACCTATTCTAATATCGCCTAATGAACTGAGTAGGGCCATTAGGGCCGGTGAGAATATCTGGAGGCGTCCAGCCTCTTCCGTAGACACCTCCATTCAATGGGGGCATCGAAATACCCGTCTAAAATCACCCTGGAGCTTATGGAACGATGTAGGGACGTTTTTAGGGTCCTTCACAATATCCAACTCATCCAACCCGACCCCCATGAGATAGCCTGCTACCCTAGGTCGGGGTGCATAGCAGTGAGTGATCATCTATTCCGGGCTGGGTTGAGGCTTCCTTTTTACCCCCTTTTCAGACTTGTGCTTAGGTCCAACGGGTTGGCCCCCACACAGTTCAACCATAATGCATGGTCCTAGATGGTTGGGACATGGATGCTGTGGCGATGGGTCAGCATCGGAGTAGATATGCCCTTCAGAGTGTTTCATTCCCACTTCTTTCCAAAAGTCACAACCGAGGAGGAGGCGAGCAAATGCTGGTAATACCTGGCTCCCTAGGGGTCTCATTCACCATTTGTGGTCGGGTCGCCTTCCTCTATTAAGGGCTGGAAGAGTTCATGGTTCTGGGCATCTGGCCTGTGGGATACTATAGAGAATGACCCTATGGAGCCTCGGACCGTCCCCACCACTTATTCCACTTGTAGTAAATAGCTTACCGATCTGATTTAACTTGACTAATTTAGCTTATGGTTTTAATACTTTTGTTCTTTGTAAGCTCCCTTTTGAGGTGTAAGAGAACAGAGGAGGAGTGCAGTTGTACCAGACGCCTCTATCGGAAAGGAGCTCAAAGATAAGAATACTCACTTCGTCTTACACGGGCTCATGACTAATAAGGGTAACCCATCTTTGCTTCGGTTCTTTCTTACTATTCTTAGAAATTACTTAGCAATTTTCTTTCTTGCAGCGGACTTTGATAAGAAGATGCCACCGAGGCCCGACCTCGCTACCATCCGATGGAGCATGATGAAGGCTAAAATGTTGAAGACCAGCTCAGCTGCTTACAAAAAACAGTCGAGGCGCCTGCTATTCCTTCTTCCTCTCCTACCAATGTTGGGGTTACCATGGCTGCTCCGCCAATCTC